TAGACAATGTTAAGGAGTGTATTTAGCTTCTTCATAATATAAGCATAAGCCATCTTGATATCGTTGAGACTTTTTTTGCTCCGTAGAGGTTTTAAAGCATATTGAATTAACTTACATTGATTTTGGCTTTAATGAATGTGTTTCTAAAAATTTAGGAGCTATAATCATTATTTGATTTGTTCTTCTCTACTTAAGTCTTTATTCTTGACATCTTTCAAATAATTAATTATCACATGCAATGGCTTGAGCAATAAATTGTTTCAAAGATTTTGCATTTGGCATTGTCAATAACAAATCTTTTACATTATACTTTAATTCATATCAAAGTTGATTGATAAAGGCTTTTTCATTCTTGTCTATATTGTAAGCTAGGTCTTGGAATTTTGCAGCATATATGATAGCTAACTATAATCATTGTTGCAATGATAAGAGCTTGGTCTTTGCTACTCTTTTTCAATCACTTTCTTTGAATGTGGCCATAAATACTTTAAGAATGAATTCAAATTGTAAAGGAATTGCGAATCTTTTTTCATAAAAGTTGCAAACCAAAAGATAACACTTCCTAATAGTAGTACGCCTATGAATCTGACTTGAATAAATCCATTGGAATATTGAAAGAGATGCAACCTTAGATAGAACTTGACTTATTGCAAAAATCTTTGAAATTTTGATCTTGTTCTATCAAACTTTTCATACATACTAATCCTTATCCCCATCATACTTGTAGAAGCAAAACTCTTTGGATTTGGTTGTAAGGTTGATCTACTTGCTTCCTTCAATTGGACAATTTTTTATTGCAAACTCTAAAATTCTTCCATAGAGGTAAGAATAGTACCTCCACAATTCACATTGGAAATATGTGAGATTTTTACTCCTAAAATATTGAGAGGCTCATGAAGATTTGTAATAATTGCAAATTTATTCTTACTTCCATTGAGAATAGTATCCATAGTCTTTCCTTCTATAATCAACTCAAACGAGTTCAAAAAATTAAATTAGAAGAGGATAATTGAAAATTTTTAATATCAAATAAAAATTTCCAAAAAGAGGAGTAATCTAATCTTCTTAAAAAAAAGATTAATATTAAAAAATAAAATTATTTATTTAAAGGTGATTAGTTTGCAATCTTTAAAATATAATAATAGAAGTGAGATAATCCACTCACTTCTAAAATAAGAAAGAAACAATAAGTTAGTACTTTTCTCAAACTATCTAGGATATAAATCTCAAAGAAAGAAAATCTTCAATATACTCTTGTGATACTGAAAAGAATTAAAAAGTCATATAAATATGATATAGTAATAAACTAGAATGGCTATTGCCAAAAACAAGAAGACTAGAAAGCCTTGAAATAAGACTAAAGACTAGAAAGGCATTGACAAGAATGAAGAAGGCTTCATTCTTGCATCTATATATATTCTTAATTAGGAGCTACATAGTGATGTGCTATAGAACCTCCAAAACATTTTGACTTTGCAAGACACGTATCTTAACTTGCAAGGCAAGTTTTTTATATGTATACTACATAGTTAGCTTATTTCGCAAACTACTAAAACATGGTTAACTTGTTGACCAAGTTTCTAGCCTACCAATCAACTACAAACATATGTTAGATTAAAGCAGTGTCTATGAAGCTTCTAGAAAGCTTTTCTAAAAGATATTATGAATTTACTCTACTTTTATTTATTTTTATCTACTTCTATGTAATGATATAGGTATTTACTAAAATAAATATATATATATATATATATATATATATATATATCAGTTGAAAAAAAACATGGATGTTTTAAAAGAGATTTATTGAAATCATGATTCCATTTTATTTTTATACAACAGCTGATATAGAATGCAAGATTTGAATAAAGAGTGAAAGAGATGATGATGTTGAGTGCTGCAAAATTAGAATTATGATACATAGAACAATAAAGAGAAAAAATGTGAAGAAAAGCATGAATATGAAGGGCAATATTAATGTGTTTGTTGAAGTGTATATCTGCTAAACTCAGCTGAGAATGAAGAGGATCAAGATGACACTTGGGAATAAGGGAGGTTAGAATGAGAGCTAGGAATTGATGAAATAAGGGCTAACATTAAGGGATGTTAGAATAGGAGGCATGATTATAATAATGGTTTTTAGAGATGATTCATTTTTTTAATGATGGTTATGATAAGATGGATAGATTTAGTAAAATATATATATATATATATGTATATATATATATGTATTTTTAAAATAATAATATTATTATTATAATTTTTTAAAATATATTTAAATATAACTATTTTAATAAGATTTTATATTATTTTGGTAGTAATATTTCTATTTTTACTATTATTTGGACAATGAATCTAATACACATTGAAGAAATATATCAAGGTAGAACTATATAGAATTGCCAATGCATAAATACTAAAGTTCAAAGATCTATACATACATCTATATTTTGCAGTGATTTCTTTTGAGATTTATTACAAGTCATCATATATGTTAATTTTATAAGAAAGTGTTATTGTTGGAACTTAAAATAAATTATTAATAATATTAGAATTTTAAAATTTTAATTGAAGAAATTTCTTTTGTTTTTTGTGGTTTCTTTTTTATAGCTTTGCTAATAACTAGATATATGTAGCTTATAACAATCAAGTAATAATTATTACAAAGACCATTGTATAGATCAATATTTTTCAATAAATGTTATAGAACAACCACCTTTAAATTCCAACTTTAATGGAAATACTTAATTCAATTTTAATGAGTTAAGGTATTTTACTAGATATAAATTTCTACTATTTATTTTATTTTATATCATAGTTTTATTTGCATAAAAATTAAATTATGTATTTTTGAGAAATATTTTTTAAAAATATTAATATTATTAACATTAATTTCTTATATTATTGGAATTAGCTAATTTATTAAATATACATCATATTAACATATAAGTATATATTTTATTTTATTTAAAGAAATAAATAAATTGAGTATTAATTATTATATTTTAAAAAACTAAAATTTAAAATTCAACTTTAAAATATAATTTTCAAATCATGAATTTTTTTATTTGAGCAAGTAAATATAGTTTTATAAAAATATACATATACGTTAATGTCTTGCAAAAATATTAAAAGTAGATTAAAAGCAACAATTATATCTTCTTCTTTTTCTTTTTAATTTATAACACTAATTATTTTTCAACATAAGAAAATTGATAGAAAAAAATATATAATGGATAAAAAATTACCTAGTATTAAGAAAAAAAACATAATATAAAGTCACCTTATTTATATATTCAAATTTAACTGATAAGTTTTTTAATACAATGTTTGCTTAAGATTATTTCCACTTTGTCTAATATTAATCAAGCAATAGCCTTAACCACTCTCTATCAAATCTTACAATCATATTTTGAACATAATCATCTTATTCTATATGTCTTGCTTGTCTAACTTGTAACTCATCATACATTTGTTTAAAAAATCTATCCAATCATTATTTACAAAAAACCAAGACCTATAGATGATACAATGTTGATTTGTAAGAAGTATGTTTCTGCTCACTTATAGCAATTGGCTTTTCTTGCATCATATACTCTATAAGATTACCACAATTCTACTATACGAAATATCAAAATATCAATGTCTCATTGATCACCATACTTATGCTATCAACAACAATCTTATGAAATCTAATCGTCATTTGTGCTCATGTTCTAGATACATTTTTACTAATATCTTGAACTGCTAATGAATGATTGATTCTAACATCCATAAATTAAACAATATTGGAGCTTGCTTACTTACAACATCTAGCTCCCTTGCAAGATTATTGGAACTCTACTATACCATAATTTAGGCACCTCAAAAAGAACAACCCCATGAAAAATCAAAATAAATTATAAGAGACCTTTTAAGTTGAAACTAATAAAAAGGATGGTTTATAGACAAATTCAAGGATGGTTTATTTGCACAAACATTCTTTGGTATTAGAATTATCTCTTATTAATCTTGTCTTTGTGTATCCAAATATCTTTTCTTATATCAAAAAGTATATGCATTAGTTCTTATTTCTTCACTTAGTTAAATCCATGAATGAAATGCATGTGCTAATTGTTTTTAGTCAAGTCCATGTATGAAGTGCATGTCTGAACTTCTTATTCTTCTCTTAGTTAAATTCATTCAATTCTATAAAACCTTCAATTCAAATGCATGGTCCAATAGAAGGATTTGTATATTGCTTAAGATTTAACCTCATAGTGAAATATATATATATATATATATATATATATATATATATATAATCTTCTCTCTACAATATATTTTTGACCATTCAACTTATTCACACATTAAACCAATTTTTTAACGTAATTGTCCTAAAAAAAAGCTTTTAATAATTTTACTAAAAAATCATATTGAGTCTATTGAGTTATTATTCCACTTCTTTTAGGTCCTTAATTGTGAATATAATTCTAAACTTTGGAATCTAGAAGCACTACTATGCATTTCAAATATGTGAACATGAATTTAAATATATTATTCTGATTGCAAATTAGCCAATTCATTTAGATAAAATATAAAATAAAACAAGAAAATAACGATATTATATGTTGACAAAAATATTATCTTCTTTCATTAAAATAAATAAATAAATAAATAAAATCAGAAAAGTAGGTGATGATTGAAACTCTTGAATTAAATTTATGCTAGAAGAAGAAGTTATTTTATTTTATTTTATTTTATTTTTTAAACAAAGATTTAAGAACAAAGGATAACTGCTGTAATAAATATATAAATAAAATAAATAATATGTAGTATGTCGTGTGAAGAATTGGCACCATCAACATTACTTCTCATCACATACTTTCAAAAATTTATGTTTTTTTCTGATTGGGAAAGTTACAAAATCATGCAGTACTTCACATTGAGCACCATAGATTCTTTTCAAAGCCAATTATCTGATAGGGTGTGCATTTAGGGTTTAGCAGCACCCAGATTCAGGGTTTAGGGTTTTTGAAGTACACACATCAACGAGAATACGATCAGCCTGTCGTCTCAATTCAACAAACTCGTCGCCGACCTTTGCCCCGACGATTCGCAGAGTAAATTGGAGGCATCATGCTCAATTTTCCATCGCAGAATTCGCGTCTTGCGCATTTCAAATCAACCCGTCGGAACCGATTCCCCACGAGCTTGTCGGCGGCTCCCATGAGTTCGTCCGCGACAAGCCCTGGGAGTTCAACAAGGAAACCGTGCTTGACGTATTAGACGCCCTCAACATGGTGAGGAGTTGAAGTTGGTGCAGATGCCTAATTGGAAGGGCAATTTGTGTGATTTGGAAAATTAGGTCACAGAAGGCCAAGTTCCTGGTCGAGCCCAATAGACTCGCTGAAGTGATATGGTGAGTTTGCAGTTTGAGGTGGGGCCAATGTACATGTTGACGCACCGTGCTCAGGCCTGTCTGTGCAATTGCACTGGCGGGCTGAAGCTCTTCCGTGGAGTTTCTTCTCTTCCCAATGGTGGAATTTGCCTTCCAAAATTCTTCAGTTACCAGTGCGCGAATTGGGGGACAATAGGGTGGAATACGTCTTCCGTCGGAGATTCCTCAAGGGACCGCGTCTTATGCTCTAAAGTTGGACCAAGGATAACATTGTGCGATAGTTACTGTGCACCGAATTCGAAATTGGGCCGGGTACGGAGCGATGGCTCCTTGAACAACTTCGTAAGAGCGTTTGTGGGTGAGACAATTGCTAAAACAGCGGGGGCAGTTGGGTCAGGTAAGGAGTCGGCGATGGCGGAAGACAACGTTGAGGACACAGATGTTAGGGGTCGGAAGGGTAGGGTTGTAATCATCGCGGGGCCGACCGGAGTGGGCAAGTCTCGTCTGGCGCTGGCGCTCGCTAAACGTCTGAGGGGGGAGATTATCAGTGCCGATTCGGTTCAGGTTGGTGCCAATTTCCACTTCTCCGGTTTTAACCCTTTATATCACTACCTCCTTGTTGAAAGAGCGTCCAGAATGCGTGGTCGTGAATTTGAAATATATATATATATATATATATATATATATATATATATATATATATATATATATATAAAATCTTATTTCATTTCTTCTTACGATTCGGCAACCTTTTCGTCAGCAGTATTAAGTAAAGCAGATTACCATCAAATCCACGACTTAACTTCTCTAACTCATGGAAACTGGAGAAAACGCGTTTTATTAAAAATGGGTCGTAGGCGTGTCTTCAATTTAAGACCCTCCTAATGCGAGTATATCTAACCTGAGTATGCCTCAAATGTAGCAGACGGGCCAGGATGGGTTGTAATACGTTGGAATTTGGAAGTGTCTTACTCTACACAAGTTGGAAAATTGGAAAATGTGACTATATCACAACGTTTTGCATATTAAGGTAGAGAGGCTTTGGCTAGTATTCTCTGTACAGTTATTGCTCTAGTATCATCGCTCCTTTATGATCTTGCTTTGAATTGCAATTTTCTGGAGTATGATCCATCCGAACTAGAATTGTTGCTTGAAGACAGTTCGTCTTGCTCATCTACTTGAGCTGGATTTCTAATGTGCTGGAAAGCTGCAGGTATACAGGACCCTGGATGTTGGCAGCGCGAAGACACCGGTGGATGAGCGCGAGGTGATCCCTTCTCTTTTTTGTTTTGATTCAAATGTGCTTCAATATTTGTAGGTTGATAAGCTCATTCCAATCCTCTGGTGCCTTGTTCGATGCCAGTTGCGATTTGTAATGCGGTTTTACAAGCCACCTCCAGAGCTTTTGCGTCGTTGTTATATGACCTTGTAGGCGCTTTTTTGTCCTCACTCGACTTGCGTTTACTTGTCTGCAGGGGATTCCACACCATCTAATTGACATCGTTGATCCTTCTCAAGGCCCGTCATTCTGCCAAAAACTTAAGATTTGGAAAAATTTCGTCGTATGTATTTTGTTATTAGTCAAGTCATTACACTTATGACACATCATGTATTGTGTGCTCGTCATAGTGGAGTTTACTCATCGCTCCATACAGATTGTGTTGCTTTCTTGCCTTTTAGCCTGCTATGATGCTTCGTCTTAATGTAGTTTTCCAATATTTGTTGAATAACACTGGCCATGTCATGGTTGCAGATTACACCGCTGGATATTTTTACGACGATGCAAGGGCAGCCACGGAATTGGTTCTTACTAAAGGGTCTGTACCCATTGTTGTTGGGGGAACTGGCATGTATTTACGATGGTATGTTACTGGGATTTCTCTTGTTGACTTGAAATTTGAGGGATTTCACTTGATTATTTCGTTATTTGATTAGTCAACATGCAACTTCTGTTAGGGTAGAGGGCTATGAAATCTGTTTGAAGAGTTTTTTTTGGTTCGAGCTATGTTTTATTTGTAATCAGCAGCTTGGACAATCATGGGTGGGAAACGTGGCTCTTAATTCGAGCTAAACGTTCTATTAAGGTTGTTTATACTTTGTTTGCAAGAGGTAATAGTGGGTATCATTCCTGGGTTCCATCAATTTCCCAACAGTAACAGGGAGGTTTATACATGCTGGTATAGGTACATGACTGGAAAGGTAGGAGCTCCGAAGGCCACGAAGGAGGTATTCGTAGCAGTGGAGGAAGAGGTTGACAGATTGATTAAGGAAGGTGGAGGATGGGATGATGCTCTGCGCATGCTTGCAGATGCTGGTGACCTGACCACAGGTCCAAGCTTGGCCCGAAATGACTGGTACAGGCTGCGCCGGGCTCTTGAAATTATCAAGGTATTTTAAGGTTTGTCTAGTTCTCAGCTGCTTTTGTTACTTGGGCCGAAATGCACTACTAAGATACTAACTTATTTATATTTGTATGAAATATCTTGAAAGGATCCTAACAGTTTCTGAGTTGATCGGTATCTGTTTAAAATAATCAGACAAACCATCACGGTGCACATTTGTTTAAATTTTCATTCGCGCGTTTTTATTTACTTATTGTGTGACAGACATCAGGTCAGCCTCGTAGTGCATTTTCGAAGCTTAGAAACTGTGATCCAGATGCTGCGACCGAAGGTGCTAGCTGGGATTATGATTTCCATTGCTATTTTCTTTATCAACCTCGTTCAGAGCTCTACCAAAAGGTAGACCTACGGTGTGAACAGATGGCGCAAGGTACGGATCTCCACAGTTTGAAACCTAATGTGCCTCGACTACTATTTTGCCAGTTTTTCAACAACTTGTCGCTGCTGTGATCCTTAAAGATTACTGACTCCCTCATCTTCCCCCTATAATTTTCGTCTATTTTCAAGTATTGACTTGGTGATCGTTGAACAAGTATTTTGAACCATTTCTCAACATCATCAATTTTTAAGATGGTTTCTGTTGACTCAAACCTCTTCAAATTTCAGTTTGAGAATGCTTTTGATGGCGGTGATTTTTCTTTCAGAGGGTCTGCTGGATGAAGCCTCGTCCTTGTTGGATTCTGGCCTCCAGCCCAACTCTAATTCAGCCTCGAGATCCATTGGCTATCAGTTGGTACGTTTTTTTCTTCAAGGATATGAGTTGGCAAATGTTGTGTGTCATCGTTTTGAATTTCTATGCGTGTCACCCGCCGTATATGTGCACTATTAGCACTTGCCGTGATTGATATATTTGAAAGGTCTTCTTCTCCTTACTATTTTCTAGGTTGGAAGAATTGTTACATATTTCCTTTCGATGGTGTAGTGACGGTTTACTGGAGTACCGCAGGCTATGGAGTTTCTGATGGAGTGTCGTCAAGTGGAAGGCGCGGCCACAGAAGAGCGATTTTTTCTTTTTCTAGAGGAATTCCAACGACACTCCAGGTCTTCTACCCTGACTCTCCACCAGTTTGAGTATTAGGTACCTGGTTTTGTGCATCTGATGACCATCTCTGAATCATCCTTTCATGGCACTATTGTATGGCAGGAATTATGTCAAAAGGCAGTTAACATGGTTCCGAAATAAAGGTCAAAGTGAGCAGATGTTCAACTGGATTGATGCCACACAGCCCCTAGTGAGTTCTACACATAGTTTCTATGCTGCATTTGCAGATAGATTTTTCTCACGTAAAAGCGGTTGTTTCTAAGGAACATAGAATGGTGGCGATTTTTAGTGTTACAAGCCTGCAAAGTGGTTGGGCGGTTTGGTTTCCATCTATCTGTTATGGTACTCAGCTGACAGTGCCGTAGAAATGTACCAGAATCGAGTCCACCAGAGAACTGTTTTTTGGTGATCAATCAATCGTCATACTTCTAGCTGTCACAGATTCGTAAGCTTAACCTGACTCTTTCAGGAAGTGATGGTGGACGCCTTAGCGAAAGAGTATGAAAGGCCCAATGAAGTGGTGAGCGATGTCCTGAAAGCGGCAAGTGTTGTTACCAAGGAGTCTAGTTACAAGGAGGAAAACCTTTTGAAGCGCTACCGAACTCAAAACAGGTGAGACTGGATTGTTGCACAAGATCAATCCGTGACGCACGCTTTTATGCTCCATGTCCTGAATGGTTTTCATTTTTACGATTTATGCCATGAGTTGTGATCTGGATTTGCTAGAAGTTCGTCACGGACTTATACCTCGTATACTCGCATGGCAGGATATTTACTAGTAACAGTGAGGCGCTCAAGCGTACTTTACAATGGATACGAGATACCCAGTGTCTATGGCGGAACAGTAGCACGGTGGATGATCTCCAAAAGAGAATGGAATCATCCTTGACGACCTCTATGTAACGTTGCTTATTTTATGAGTGAAGATTTTGACTACTAATGTTGGGTATCAAAGTACCCTTTTGGAAAAATAGTGTTGCTAGCCGTGAGCTTAGAATCGACTGAATGACGTTGGCTTGTGTTGCAAATGTAGTCCAGCCTGAACTGTAATTTCCCTCAACAAGGCTTTCCGATGTACCTTGGATTTACACCGACAAAACAGTAATACCTGCTTGGCTCGAGAGAATCTAATTTGTTTAGTCACAAATCAACTCTCTAACAATAGTGTGCTCGATAATTGCAGTGTCTTTGTAGAACAATGCAAATCGAATCGTACAATGTATGTGTTCCCACATAACAATGCACCAAATCAAGAATCTCAAATAAGAAAACTATGTAAGAATGTTCTACACACCAGGACTGAACTGAAACCTACAGCTACGATCACATACCAAAATTATTCTGCGGCCAGCGGTACAACCAGTTTGCAAAGAGATTGTAATAAACAGCAAAGCCTTACCAATTAATTATCATCCAGCGATGAATGGGCTCGAATACCAGCATCCAACACGATCTGATAGCACCCTAAGCTGGTAGTGGACCGTTCAACAGGCAGAAGTGGCGGGAATTTCCCGCCACTTGATTTCAATCTCCCGCCACTAAGTACTGGGTCAGTGTTCCTCTTTATATATGCGTTGCATTCCCTCTTCATTTCGCTCATCGTGTTTCTCAATTCCTCACCCCTTCGCGATTTTAGTCTCCTCCCAGATCGTCTCTTGCTCCGAACTTCGGCACTGTTGCGCAGTGTCAGAACTCTAGCTTCGTGTAGTGCTTCAGTTTGGTATTGGGTAGAATAATGGCTCGGACGAAGCAGACTGCGAGGAAGTCCACGGGAGGGAAGGCGCCTCGCAAGCAGTTGGCTACGAAGGCTGCTCGCAAGTCGGCACCAGCCACAGGAGGGGTGAAGAAGCCTCACCGGTACAGACCCGGAACTGTGGCTCTGCGTGAGATCCGCAAGTACCAAAAATCTACCGAGCTTCTTATCAGGAAGTTACCGTTTCAGCGTTTGGTTCGTGAGATCGCCCAGGATTTCAAGACTGACTTGAGGTTTCAGAGTTCAGCAGTCCTGGCGTTGCAAGAGGCCTCCGAGGCTTACTTGGTTGGATTGTTTGAGGATACCAATCTTTGTGCAATTCACGCAAAGCGCGTGACAATCATGCCGAAAGATATTCAGCTGGCGCGGCGGATTAGGGGAGAGCGGGCGTGAGCTTTGATTGTCTCTTGGATCCAACTTAGTTACTTGATCATTTTTTTTCAGGAGTGACGAAACTTTAGGAATGTTGGTGGTTGCTGAAGTAGTTTTGTTACCTCGTAGATTTTTCGAGTCTCCTCTTCTTTAGCTTCCTGATGCTGAGACTAGGAAGATCTTGTAAATACTTTTACTGCCTCTGGGACCTGCGGAAATTGAATTCAGTCTCGCGTAACTCCGATGTCAGAAGTTGTCTGAGGTTGCCTACATTATGATGCGACTCGAATGCCCGATTATGCAATTCTCTGTGAGTCTGTTCAGCGATAGGAAACTGCCGTATATCGTCTCGCTTACACAATTGCACTCGGCCGGAAAGGCACGTCCATGCATAGTCCGAACGTAATCTTTAAACCGAGCTCAGTGACTGCAAACCCGTATGCAATCAATCTGCGCCCAACAAGAGAAACGTGCGATCCTAAACCCTAAACCCAGGTACATCAGTAATCGTGAGACTACCGATAATTTGAGCGTTCATTTACCTTCATATCTAGTCTTGCAAAGCCGGACACCATCTTCTGAAGAAATTGTTTTTGAGATTGTAATTTGTACGTCGATATTTACTAACATCCAAATAGTGAAACACTGATTATAGATAATGGTGAAGCTTGTGGAAAAAATGTGAATAGTACACAAAGCACGTTCTTACATCTTTACATATATTTAAGTGTATTTACGATCTTCATTCACACATGTGAAGTATTTTTAAAAATAATTATGATTTATAATATGTTTTGTATAAATATATGTATATATATATATATATATATATATAATCTTTAATATGATTGAGAAGTCAATCATAAAATTGATAGTGAATCTATTTATTCCTACATGTGTACAAATAACCACTTAGTTGTATTATATACATATATATATATATATATACACTTTTTTTGTTCTTTTCTTTTTTTCATTATAGTTTTAGAAAAATATATTATAACATATGTTTAAAATATTGATTTTAACTTTTAGTGATAAAGCTTTTTAAATAAGTTCCAACTTCCTTATTAATAAGAGAAATAAATCACACATTTGTTTGGCATCAACTTGGATTTGACACTTAATTTATTATGAAATATTCCTAACAAAGATAAATTCATTTATTTCTCATATTGCTTATAATTATATCCATGTGGTATTATTATTGCTTATAAAGGTCAACAAAGTTGTTATTTGCATCTAAAGTTAATAAATAATATCTTCAATGATACAAAATTGAGATCAATTTAGGTTAATTTATTTTATTTTAAAAATTAATGTTTGGCTTTTATTGTTAAATTAACCAATTGCTAAATTAAATTATAAATTAAATTTTAAAATATTCTATATTAAACATAGTATTATTATGATGAGCTAACATCACATTAAAGAATGCCATGCAAATGTATCTAAATACTAAGTAAAGTAGAATCTAATTCTTCGAAATAATACCATAATTAATAGAAGATAGTTCTAAGAGAAAGGTTGAAATCAAAGTTTCCAACATTCTCTGGTGATCAAACCATTCTCTTAATTGTTGGTATAGAAAATAGAACAAAAAAAAGATTTTTGAGAAGCATTGCCTTGTAGAGCAATGTGGATGTATTTGTAGATAATTTTAGATGTTGTTGAACAAGAAGTAACATATGTAATTCTATACATGGAGAGCTATTTGTTCCTTGATTGTATTGTTGATGGCAAGTAGGTTGGGAAGTGAAGAGCAATTAGAAAACCAGGTGTTGAATTGTTGCAAGAGAATAAGAATAGAAAGTTGAAGATAATACTGAAAGTAGGATAGCCAAATGTCAAGTTTTACATTGTAGAAGTTGGTATTTGCCATGAGATTCATGAAACAGTTGTTGTAGCCAAATTATTTTGCTTGCGCATTGTGCTAAAACTTTGTATTTGGCTTTGCATGAGCATTGTGAGATAGTTGGTTATTTTTTGGACTGTCTTGAGATTAGAGTTTTAGCTAGTAAAAATATGAATGCTAATGTTGAGATCCAATTATCCAGATCTTGATTGTAGTTGACATTGAAGTAGGTAATGATGATAGTTTTTTCTTCAACTGCAAAGAAGATGCTAAAGTTGAGATATTTGCAAAGATATTGCAATATGCCATAAACGACTTAGAGGTAGACTTATTGGTGTTGATTGGTAACTAAGCAAATTGTTTCCTAGCAAATAATTGGAGCAAAAACGTCTTAGTAGTCAATGCCATGCTTTTGCTAGAAAGTCCAAGTGATCAGAGGAGTCTTGTGCCAAATTGTAGAGGCATTGAAGGTGGATTTAATTTTATAAATCCATTTTACAGTGATGGCTTATTTACTAGGAAGGAGATCCACTAAGGTCTAGATATGATTTTTTTGGATAGAATCAAATTCCTCCTACATATTGCCATTCTACATGAAAGAGCGGATTGCTTAAGAGAATATGAGGTTTTTATTTCCTTCCATCAATTTCGCATATATCTTTGGAAATGCTATGAATTGATTAAGGTAGGTAGGATATTTGCACGATTGTTAGAAGTAACAATCAATAATGGTGGGAGATAGAGATGAATTGATGCTTGTGAGAAGCAATGTTAATTGTGGACTCCGAGTTGTGATGTGGCCAAGGAGTGGAACAATTATTATTGGTATTGTTAAAAGAGCCAATTGTGATTGTATTGGTAGTGTTGGAATTATTATGAATAGAGAGGTCAATCTCATAATTAGTTGTTGTGGTTGGAAAAAATGCAAAGAGAATTGGTGCAAAACTAGAATACTATCTTAGAAAGGTTGGTCTCTTAGATGTGAGAGATATAACTTAAGTAGGAGGTGGCTTTAGATTGTTGTAATGGTATTGGATTGGAGATACAAATGCCAAGCAAATTTAAGAATTTGCATGTCCTTAGAATTGGCAATGGAATTTTGGTTGAATAAGTAGCATCTATATTATTTTAACTTATGAGTTGTAGCTAAGATGAAAGGCTAGAATTGTGTGTGGTTAAAGTTTTAATCATTTTATATTTTTGGTGTGTATGTATATTAATGAATCAAAAATATAAAGAGTAAAAATATTTGATTTCTTTCTCAAAGAAGAATTCATCTAGAGTTTTGTCTAATATTGCCTTTATAAACCAAAGGTTAAAAATTATTATTGTTGCTCTTACTACTTGAATCGAAAGCATTCATAGTAAATCTATATTAAGTAGAAAGGTACAAATAATGTTTTAGAGGGAGCAGTTCTTATGTTTAGTGATGCTATTTTTTGAAAGTTATATGCTTATGTAAATTCACATCAAATGTTTGCTTATAAAGTAAAGTTGTCGAATTCATAGAATATGTATTTGCTTCTATTGTTGTCAAGGACAAGAACTCGATGAAAAAATAATTCAGACAAGTGTGCCTTCACTCAAAGAAAAGTAATAAAATATAAATAAACAAGTATGTATATTGAAAGAGAAACTAGAATGGCTATTGCCAAAAGACAAAGAAACTAGAGACCCTTGAAACTAGATTGGAAGCAAGAAAGGAGTTGACAAGAGTGAAGAAGACTTCACTCTTATCTCTATATATATTATCTAACTAGGGGCTACGTGGCAACGTTCTATATGACCTCCAATATGTGTTGACTTTGTAGGACACATGCCTTGACTTACAAGGCAAGTTTTTCTACGTGTGGGCCACATAGCTAGCTTGATCTTCAAGCTAACAACATGTGTGGCACATGGCCAACTTCTTGACCACGTTTCTAATCCAAAAAGTCAATAAAAGACACCTATGAAGTCAAAGCAGCATCTATAAAGCTTCTAGAAAGCTTCCATATTAAATACTATAGAATTAATTTACTTTTATCTACTTCCACCTATTTGTATATGTAATTACTAGCTTACATGAGTATGTCCGTGACATTACCCCCCCCCCCCTTCTAAGGATTAGTTCCATGAAGAGCAGTCATTATATGTTGAAGAAATCTATGATGCGACGAATTGTATTCGCCACATACTTTGATCTTTGTTCTCTTTGAAGATGATTGATAGGGCCTCTCAACCATCAGTAGTATCCCATACTAGGGTGGAAAGACCACTTAGTTATTTGATCATTGTTGAGGCCTTCATAACTTCCTTCGAATAGAACATTTGGAACACCATCAAGAGTTGTTCCTACCTCTAGTAAAATCACCAAGCATCGGGAGTCAATTCTCAAATCGTGATACCAAACGCATTGTATCTCGCCATCTATTCGAGGAAGAACATGTCGTTCTTGAAGATCTTCATCTCGATTGCGTCATCTTAAAGGTTGTGATAATTATAATGTTTCATCCGGTAGGTCAGCAAATGAAGGCTCTTGAGTCGAATCCACTGGTTGTTGGTTCTCCATCTCTTGAACATCACAACTACAAAGAAGCTACGAACAAGGATTGAAAGTAGAATGTTATCTTGCCTAGATGTTGTTTCTTTTATAAAGAAGGTTTTCATCTTGATTTTGATGGACGTCGTCGATGAAAAGCCTCCACCACCTTTGCTGCATTTGTAAGATTCTTTATTGGCTGCCATATGCATTTACTAATATCATATCCGTGCCAATGGATAAGATATTCCAATTTATTTTGGCGCCGCCTTGAATCTAAGACTTCTTCTACTTCAAACTCTTCATTATTGTCCCCTTCTATAGGAGGAGGTGGAGCTTGTCGTCTTCTTGATATGTCCACTATCTTGTATGGTTCAAGAAGAGACACATGGAATACTGGATGGATTTTCATTGACTCCGGTAGATATAAACGATATACAACTAGATTGATTTATGCAAAAATAGAAAATAGTCCAAATCTTCGATAGTCCAACTTATCACAAAGATGAGTGGTCTTGATATTGCGATAAAGTAGCCATATCTTATCACCCAAGAGGAATGGTGGTTGTTCCTTTTGATAGACATCCACATTGACATTTTGTTGTTCATGAGCCTCTTTTAACTGTGCCTGCATCGTTGCATGTAGCTCTGATAAATGAATCGCCAAATCTTTCGCAGCAAGATTATCAACTTTTGAAAATTCAAAAATATCAAGTCGTGGATGATAACCATAATTAGTAAAGAAAGATGTTTGTTTTGTAGAAGAATGTACCGTGTTATTGTAAGCAAACTCTGCCAATGGTAAAAGAGTTGTCGAATCATCTTGTTGGTAATTAATGGTACATCTTAAATATTGCTCCAAAACTTGA